TGGTTTCGATTTGTCAATGCCATTCACCATTTCTTAATCCCAACCTGCCTAAGATTATTCTCCTTATAGTAGAGAAGGTTAGGGAAGATTTACAAGAGAAGTTCAAAATTATGAAGAACTTTGAAGGACCAAGTCAAAAGGATGTGTTTCCGCTCCAAAAAGGATCAGTAACAAAAGGGCAGAGGTTAACATAATAAAAGAACCAGCAGTGAAATTAGACGAATGTTTTTGCAGAAAGCTGAAGACCTGGAATATCCGCCTGTAAAGGTGATTCAAAAGGTAATTAGATTTATAAATGAAAATGAAACATTTACGAGGTTGTGAGGAAAGTGCAGATGATTGAAACAAATTAGCTAGCTTTTTCAAAGAGTTGCAGAGGTCAAATGAGCTGAATGGCTTCCTTTTCCCTCCGCACTTTCCTTTTGGTTTCCATAACAGACCTTGCTCCAATGGAACGTTTTGACAGTTTTCTCTCTCTTCCTATTTCCAACCATTCAGAGACCAATTAATTCAGCAAACGTATCAGCAATTTTTGTTCATTCAACCACCTACTTGCACCTCCATCACCTCCTGCAAGTCCCCTACATGATACCACCATGACTGCAAATCTGTGCTTTTCTACCTTACGAACAAAGCACTCTATTCTGTTGTATTAGAATCTTGCTAAAGTCAAGACTAAACAATGTCCATGGAGTTCTGTTTATTGAGATGTCTGATAACTCCCCAAAAAAATCTAAGTATGTATGACACAAATCGTCCAGTCTCCACATCATTGAATACAATGACACAGGATGCACGTTGGGCCCTCACAGATGCCCAATGTGCTGATCTCTGTGGCAAGTGCTAGGAAGTTTGAATTTCTGAGCAGAAATTCTCTTACACCCCAATACCCTCCGCAAAAGTCCCTGACTCTGAATTACAGTCAGCCCTCAGTCAGTTCCGATTTACTTATCTGAATAGTTACCCTGAAAACATTAGAAAAATACTAGTCTACACCTGGGCAACTACACATCTTACCAGACCTGACAACTTACAGTGACCACTGATACTCCCCCTCGATCTGCTGACCATTCCCCTTACAACCACCTGTGACCCAGACTACTCCTCCTGATCATGCTAACTCAAAGTTCCAACCAACCTTCTCCACAACATGTGACTATTCCCCCACCCACCAGACTACCCCCGCCGACTCAATCTGACTAACCCTCAAACTGACTGCCCCTGCTGATACAACCCAACTAATCTATGATCAATGTAGCCACTCAGGCACCCTACCAACATACCAACATACCACCTCCCTCATCCAGTGCTATGAGAATGGAGCATGTATAATCTTAGCCCCAACAATCCAGCGCTACTTCAGGATAACAGGTAATTTAAAACATAGCCTACTTGTCCTTTTACAGAGACAATCACCCCAGTAATTTGCTATCTGAATGGTCACCTCCAGTACTTCCTAATCAAAGTCTGGAGAGACTTCTGTCACCTACAATCCAAGGCCACCACCAATGAGATATTTCCCTCCCCACCCTATCTGCCTTTCGTAGGGACCGCTCACTCCGCAACTCCCTCATTTGCTCCACACTCCCCACTAACCCCATCACACCCGGCACCTTTCTCTGCAACTGCAGGAGGTGCTACATCTCCCCTCTCACCTCCATCCAAAGCCCAAAACAAACTTTCCAAATCCAACAGGGGCTCACCTGTACATCCTTCAACCTGGTCTACTGTATTCATTGCTCCCGGAGTGGCCTCCTCTACATCAGTGAGACCAAGCCAGACCCAGGGATGGATTCGTGGACCAACTGGACTCTGTAAGCAATAATCAACAACATCTTCCGGTCGCTAACTATTTTAACTCCCACTCTGACTCCTTTGATGACATGTCCATCCTGAGCCTTCTCCGTTATCACAATGACACCACCTGCAAACTGGAGGAGCAACATCTCATATTCCGCCTCGGGAGCCTACAGCCCAATGGCCTGAACACAGAATTCACCAGTTTTAAAATCTCCCCACCACCGGCCTCATCCCATTTCCAACCCTCCCTCTTATCCCCACCTCCTTGACCTGACAGAACCTGTCCATCTTTCTCCACACCCATCCACTCTACCAATCCCCACTACTCCCTACCTGCATCCACCTATCATCATCCCCACCTACCTTCCTACAGCCCCACCCCCTCCACCCTCTGTTTTTTTCCCCAGGTCCCTTCCCCCTCCCCAGTTCTGATGAAGGGCCTGACCTGAAATGTTGGCTTTTCTGTTCCTCTGATGCTGCAGAAAATGAAGAATATTTCCCTGCAGCTAGACCGTAGAATGCTCATCATTTGCATACTGGGATGTGCTTTATGGTCATTTGTGGACATTAAATATGCTATGGAAACGAAAATTCATTTTTACCTCCTTCGTTGTCTACACATTTTCACTTTTTTTCTGTTATTTCCTATATATTTTAAACTGCCTCTGCAATGCATGCAATTTGTATCTAAAATTATTTTCACCAGTTCCCCATGACATTTTGGCCCCCAATAAACTATTCCAATCTTGGTCTATTAATTTAATAACAGTTATACCGAACCATTTGAAAGTGTAGCAAGATGTAATTTAAACAAATGAAAGCCAACCTAAAAAGGTATGAGGATAACAGCCAAGAGAGGTTGAATCCTTATTCTCTCAAAGTCTTCCTTCCTAAAATCAAGAGTTTTTGTTGCATTCTCCTTATTCATGGAGTACCAAACTCCTAAAACAGCCAAATAAATTCATAGGTTAAAATCCAATTGGGAGATTATTTTAAAATCCAAATTATATATCATTTGAAATCTTTGTTAAGACCTGCAGGAATGGCATGGACATGGAAATCTATCCAAAACAAAAAAAAGATATTTTCAAATGGTTATCCTATTTAAAAGTAAAAATGTAGACATTTAAATTATTGCACAATGCAAGTTTGTGAAATATTTGAAACAAATAAAAGTCAACTGAGCAGAACTTGTGCTCTGCAGCTTTGAATTCCATTTTAGTGAAAAGATTGCACCAATGGGACCTTGATCTATCTAGGGCAGGTTCTACTAAATTTAGGTATTTTCAAAACCGCAGTACCAATCCTATGTCTCTTAATAAATTACAACACAAACCTGCACTCCACCCCACTGCCGTAACATTAAAATGCATTTCTTTATACTCTTCTTGTGCAATCGGTAAATATATTAACGAATTAAAACAAAACATGAGAAGTAAACATAGCTTGTTTACATGCTAAACGCATTAAAGACACATTTGATGTAACCAATTCTCTAGTTTACACTAAAAAATGATCAAGCTCAACCCGCATGCAGCACGCACAATGGTTGTAGGGTGGCAGCACTCTCTAACTCATTGCAACTTGCAGTTTGTGGGGTTTCCGTGGGGAAGGAAATTGGGCTCTTGCCTATTACTTACTTGAGTAATCAATACATTTTGAACGCGAAATCTGATCTTCAAACACAAAGCAAGCGATGTCGGAGTCCCAAGTAGCCGTTTCTATGCTACGATTCTCTCCCCCAGACCCATCCCTCCAATGTAGAGACGCTACTGGTTCCCTGCAACTGCTCCGCCTGTTTGACAGCGTAATTCCCGGGGTGATCTCAGTCCTAAACAGCAGCCTTTTGTCCGGTTGATTAAAAAAAGAAGTGGCACAAACATGCATTGTACCGGCTTCCCCTTTTTAGCATAGTCGGAATGGCCTACGTGTGATTGGCTTTATTCCTGGTGGCCAGTATCAAAGAGATGTGACCAATTTTGATTTTTAAAAAGCGAGGCAGTATTTCCGTCAGCCACATGTTGATCAATACCCGCAGGACTCAAACATAATGTCCTACAATCAATAGAAAAGACCAGCAGTATGGCGTGGTCCTTCCCTACATCCAACTGCTACACACTTCCTTTTCACCTTAATGATGCTTAGGTCGTCCTTTTGAAATTAATAGCGTTTTTTAAAAAAAAACTTGCACCAAATCCGGTTCTGCCACTTCATTAACGCTATTTCTGGATCCTGCAGCCCTCATGTTTGGCTGAGTGGCTCTGAATGCTTCAGAAAGCGGGTGGCGGGGCTCTGCCAGAGAAAGCCGGGGCCACGACAACACCTAATCTCTCAAACAGCCAAAGCTAGCCCACTCCAAAAACACAACTCTTCTTCTATCCCAGACTCTCGAGATGAACAGGTTTAAAATGAGAACCTCTGAGATTCAACTGTACGAGAGAAAAATAAACCACAAATTCGCCTCACAAGAGTAGAGCCGATGGAACTAGGCGCATTTCCATTGAAACAACCGGTTCCAGCGAACAAGTGCAGGAGCAATAGTTGAGCAATGCCACAGAGCACATCACACACTCCCAATCACACCTCTTCCTTCCGTCTTCTCCCGGGT